GACGCAAGCGTCAGCCCCGGAACTCCAGTGCACTCCGTGCACTTTGCGTGCCTGAACTCCGCGGTGCAATGCTTCCCACCACTTGTCGGCGACAAAGACTGCACAAGGCCGGGCCAGCACTTGACAAAGCTCATGGCCGAAGCTTTGGCCCGGCCTCGTAGCCCGCAGAAGGCGGAGCCTCTTCTGGGAGTTCTGCAGAAGGCTCCAAATAGTAGCAGTCATTCCTTGGCCAAGGACAGCCAAGCCCAGCTCAGCGGCCCTACAGCAAAGACTGCCCTCAGCTTCTGGCACTCTTGAGCAAGTAAACGGTAAGCGTTCCAAGACATTCAGCTTGTCCTACGGCTTTCACGAATCCCGGAACTGACCCACTGCTGGGCAACAACCTGGACCTTCCTTGCCTGGGCTTGACAAAATATCTATCCGATCGATCTCCCGCCTTCGTCGACTTGAGGATCTGGACGCCTCAGCTCAACTCTGTCAGGGCCTTTGGGAATCGCGTGCAAAGCCGTAAGCTCTCGGCACGAGTCCTGTGGAGCCAAATCCGCTAAACGCTTGGCCTCCGAGACGGCCTGCTTTCAGCCACGAAACATCATGTGTTTAAACCACGAGGCTTTTGAATTCTAAAGCCATGCTGATGTCCGGGAAGTCCAACTGCAGGACACAAATGCGAAGTCGAAGCGAGACTAGCACGAGACATGCCATGTTGGGGTTCAACTGCTTCAAGGGTCCACACGCAGCGTTGACTTGCTTTCAACAGCCCAAGCAGCGGCCTCACCGTAGACGGCCTGTTCGGCACGGGAAGCTGGGTCTTGGGAATCGGCTGCATGGCTCTTATTCTGCAATGCTGCGGTATGCACCTCTCCGCCGTTTCGGAGAACTAGCTTCCGAACAATGCCACTGTGCACACCTGACAGCAAGCAGAACCCGTACCAACTCTCTGGACACACCACGAGGGTCCGGCCGATGTGCAGCGCATAGGGTGGCTCCTGACTGATGGCCCAACCTTGCAACGAAAGCTTCTTGTCCGGCTGCAGCAAGTAGAATGGCAGCAAACAACAGGAGGGCGTGGCGGCATATGAGCTGCCCCAATCGGACGATGATATCCTCGCAGGGCGTCGCAAGCACGCAGGCGACATCAGGCGACTCCCGATGCCATGCCGACTCGCGACAGCCGAACGCCCGCTCCTCGAGAGACATGTGCCCTCTGTCGAAGTGCTCCTCCAAACGGCGACACGGTACTCTGCACTGGGCATCAAGTTCAGTATCAAGTTCTGCAGCCCGATATACTCCGTGAGATAAAACGCCCTGGAGCAGTTGCACCGTCCTCCTTTGCTATCGAGGCACTGCACACGAGAAGCCCATGGGTAGCCTAGTTCCAACTTTGGCAGCGGTGGCAGGGCTGGCTTGTAATGATGGTGCGGGCGGTGGCAGCAGGCGGTGGTGCTGCGACTGCTTGAATTGTTGTGAACCCTGTGGCATTAAAAAAGATTGGCATTTACCCGAGCAGTGTTAAACGCTGCCTGTGCTATATCACACATGCAACGGCTGAGGGCTTCAGATATCTAGGAATGCCATCAACATCAGTTGTGCTTCCGCAATCACTGGCCTTCGTAACTCCTGTTGCCCAAGCCAGGAAGACTTCTACATGCACCGTTCTGCTCCCGTAGCAAAAGGTGCTGTCGTAGGGCTGATGCCACCGGAATTCCAATAAACAATGTCCCTCCTTGGAGTCGGCAATCCTTCTACTACAGGTGCTTGCGAAAAGCCCCGGACACCAAGCTGACCCCGAGCTCAGGCAAAACCTTGGGGCGCGACGGCTGCTTCCACCTCCGATGCAAAGGACTTTCGAAGAGGCTCCAGGAGCTCTGAGGCGTTTCATCCCCAAGCCAGGCCAAGCCACTCTCATGTCCCCTCATACAGAGAGTACCCTCTTTGTTCCTAGAGTCCCCTAGTCCCCTGTCGCGCCATCCGCGCGGCCACCAGTTTGGCACAATCCAGGATGCCGTCGTGGAGCGCCAGGAGGCGCTCGGCCTGAGCAGTGCCACGTGGAGCGATGCTCCGACATGCTCCGTCTCTACCCTGCTTCGAGACAGCTCTCTGCTTTCCCTGCCTTGAGCAGCTTCGCATCGTCCACGAGACTCCAGTACTGAGTGTGCGAGCAGAACTTCCAAGAGAGATAAGATGCCACGGCAGATACCCGAGATTCTGACCAAGCAGGAACACTCTTCGCCGTCCTAGGCGATCCAGAAACTGAACTTCAGAACAAGCATGGGATGCACTTATTAGCCACTTCGTCTCCTAAGTCAGTCACCGCTTCCAGCTGAACCTCCTCCTCATACATGACTGGGCAAAGGGAGGTCAGCGGCCTGCCGTTGACAGGGGAAACGTTGCCTTTCTACTGACTTTCGTACTGCAAAGTCCCGGTCCCGTGCGCAGTTGTCTTGCACTGGCATCGGACGGCGTCATTGGCCTGGCACTGACTCTTCTACTTATTCTACTTATTTCTACTTCATCTTCCGCTTCGATTACGATCAGAATCCACACAATGCCGCACTGCAGGTCCACCTCCGCCCGATCACCTTGGTCATGCGGCATGAAGCTCTATGCATGACTCGACCGACTGGGTGGCCGCCTGCATACTACAACTTGCTCTTGCGGTCGAGTTGCAAACGCCCCTGGAGAGGCAATGCACTCCACCCATTCACCATGGCTCTCAACTAATCGTTCTGGCAAACTCAACGTCTGTCATAGAGCCGATCCGGGAGCAGCATACGGCACGCCTTCTCTGCTGCACCTTGCCCTATCCTGCCCTCGACGGTCACCATGAATGGCGTATAAGCTGCAGCGCCTTTTGCCGGTGCAACAGACACGTGCGACGGGTTGGGCCACAGGGTGACACTTTGAACAGCCGAAGGCGTAATGTGCCGGTCTCTGCCGTGACGTGCCGGTGCAAGGAATTCTGCACATGATTCGAAACGGGGTGACACATCTGTTCCATGCGGAACCGAGCTGAACACAGCATGTCAGTGGTGCCTGGCATTCTGACTTCATTTCCCGGCTTTTTGCCATGTTTCGCAGGCAAGGGCATGCCCTCAGCATTGACTCAGCATGGTGTCCAGCTCTCGAATCTAACATGATTGGGCTGAAGGCACTCTGCCACACGACGGCGAAGAAAGATTAGAGTAAGAAATTGGTGAAGCCGAGGTCGACATTTTTTGAGATACTGACTGGCATTCTAGCCTCCAGCCTTTCTAGGACTCAGTTCAGTTCACTTCTTCCATCTACCACAGCAGGCTGCCTGCAACCAGCAATTGACACCGCCAAGCCATCCGTCCAGCTGCAGCCTGATCCCACCTGCAGCGCACCTCAGCATACCACCTCGGGCAATGCGTTGAAGGCAGAGGCGCCAGAGCGCAGGCGGCATAGAGATCGCCCAAGTTCCGAAAAGCTCAGTCGCCAACTCTTCGAGCGGCTTCTCCGAGGAGCGCCAGTTTTTCAGGGCACCTTGCTAGAAACACCCCGTCGGCAGCCCTGTCTTGAGTAGCCACGTCCCCCCACCCCATCTTCAGCCGAAGAGCTCCAAGTCTGCGTGGCCATTCGCTTCTGTTCTTCCGTCCGCATGGATTTAAAGGCCTGCGTTGCGCCGCTTCGGAAAAGCCCGGTTTCTCGCGACGAAGCTGATTCGACGCACATGCTCCAACAGAACCTCGCCCAAGTTAGCTGAAATCTGTTCAGACGAGGGGTGTGTCGGGGGGGGAGGGGGGGGCTGGGGTCATGGGGGGCTCACCGGAATAGTTTATAGATTAATAAAGCTTGGGACGCGCCCTAACGAGGGCTCGATAGTCCGACGCAAAAAAAATATAAAGTACTCATAAAGTATTTCGAGGGGGGACGCTACCATTCTAACACGTTAAAGACGTTATTGACAGTGAAGCCGCAACCCGGGTCCAGAAGCAACTTGGTCCTTCAAGGACTCGGGGGAGTGGACATTGTTGCTGCTTCATTTTATGTGCCTACTTGTTGTTTGTGTCTAGGATTTCGGAGTTGCTACGGCGGTCCCCGCACAGACTGTTCCGCGAAAAATATTCCGAGACGCAACCTTCCACCCAGGAATGGGTACTTAAGACAATCCCCCCCCCCCAATGTTCGGAGGCAATCCATGTGTGCAAGCATCGCTTGTCACGATACCTGAGGTTCGTGATGCCAGACTCGACTCCCTCCTCAATGTCCTACCTTGCAGTGCTGCACATCCCCTCCTGCCTCTCGCACTGCCCAGTTCTTTCGGCTGTAGGGATCAATGTCCTATCCGAAGCTGAGGTGTGAAAGAGTGCTTGGCGACCGGATGTTCTAACGATCCAGGCGTGTTTGAAGACTTAGCTGCAGTCGACGGACAAAGCTTAACTAGTAAGTGACAGCCCTGGCTGCGCCTTGCAGTACCGCGTCACATCGCTAACAGACGCAACACCTAAAGAGCAGCTGATTTGCAGTCGAATCAGCTGGGACTGGCTGAACGGTCACGTTGAACAAGTTCCCAGGAGGAAGATCGGCTCCCCGCCACGAAGACGAATTCGCCCGTCCGACCCAACCACCTGCAAGGCTTGTTACAATGGTTTCATGCGGCGCCCACGTGCGGGCGGGGCGGCGGGGGGAAAAGATCTGCAACTCTGCGCCTGCCTTGGCTACCTCATCCTTGCGCCTTCGGAGAATGACGGGGGAAGCACCGCAGCCGTAGCCACCTCGACAGAGCCACAGCACCAATGCACCCCGCAAAGACCCCACAGGCGCCCAGCGAACCCGTCGCTCCTGTCGAGCACGGCTTTCCCTGTCATGGGGTCCGGACAGAATTAGGCCCTATGTGCTATCGTATGTGTAGGTCTTGGCAAAGGAAGACCACGGAGCAGAGACGGAGGGCCTCTCATCCGACTGGCGCCCAGGCCTGGCCTGCGAAGGACTTCCAAGGCTGGAAAACACGGACACATCGGGTCACTCGATTTCGCTTGCAGAGAACACGGAAGTTGAGGGCTTTTGGGGCAGCATAGAACACAGGTGAGGTCTTTGCAGCAACGTCTCTGTTATCACAAACATGTGTGCATGGTCAGCAGATCCCTGTCCTGGACCTCGCGTGCAGGAAAACGCCTGACAGATGTAGAATTTTCTGACAGGACTTCATCGCGGAGTGTTTGCTAGATTGGGATAGAGCCTGATCCGAGGAGCTCGGACATTTACAAGTGTGCACAGGAACTTCAGCCGCTCATTCGCAGATAGTTTGCACCACACAGCTGTTGAGCGTGTCAGTTACGGAATTGTCTCTGCCAGTGTTGAGCACAACAAGCTGGAATCGCCCCTGGCTTTCATGCCACCAATTCTGGGGCGCGGATCTACGGGATCTGTACAACGATTCGGGACGCACTGCCTGCAGCCACTGCAGATGCAAGCTTTATGCAGATCAGGCTATTGACAGGCCGAAACAGCCAGCGCCTCACATCAACAGCAGGAGAAGTGGGGCCCGCGATTGCCCGCACGATCCAGCAGACACAAGCTCTGCGATGCTCCCTGGTCGCGCAGGCTCTGCAGCTATGGAAAACAGATCGGCAAAGACGAGAGGTCCCTCGGACATCTCACACTTGCGAATTGTCTGAACACTTTTGAACAGATAAATGTGACAGGTGAGTGCTCGTCATGCCAATTCTCTCGCTACGTGGCTTCGTGCAGCACAGGTGCATAGGCATTGTCACATGAACCACTCGAGACTACCGCTTGAGTACCAACTTCATGACATTGGCTACTAGGCTTATGGCTTCCACTCGCCGCTTCCGGCCCCACCTGGGCGAGTGTTTGGGGCGCTTCGGCCAAAACAGCAAATCCGAATTCGGCAAAAGGGGCTTCACTGCCCTGACGGTGAATGCGGACTCTGTGAAGCAGTAGAGTTCTCGAGAGTCGCTAGAGCGAAGAAGCCCTACGGATTCAGAAGCCTGAGGCTTTGCTGAGGCATCACAACGGGAGGCAGCGTTCTGTGTCTCCCAATTGCATAAGAAGGCCCAGCACTCTTGTGGCCTTTCAGGCACCTCCTCGTGCAGCGCTTGTCTCACAACCCAACTCCTTGAGCACCTCGGTCAGAGACAGTCACTTGCACTCGTTGCTGAAGGTAAGGTCATGAAGAAGCCGGTTCTGTTCCTCCCGCAATGTTTCCAAATCACAGCAGCAGGAAAACACACGGATAGAATAGATGCAACCTCACTGAGAGACAGCAACCGCCAGACAACGCAGCAGGCGGACCAAGTAGCAAGCGGACTAAGTGCGGAACAGATGTGTTGCGGCTTGCTTTGGCAATGTCTACCGCAGTCTTTCCGTGGGAGTCCTGCCGGCACGTTACACTGAATCCAACACCCAGACCTCCGATACGGCCACCCGATACGACAAGCATACTATAATATATTGTACTGTACTATAATATAGTTTCCTAAACTGCACTGAATTATGAGCAACTGTAGCTTCATACGATGTACCATACTCTGTCCTTCTGTTCCAAGGAAGCTCCCGCTTCGAGCAGGTATGCCACCATCCTCCCAAGCCATCATTCGGCAAACCAGACGTCCTAAACCCTACGCTGCAGCTCATGTGACAGAAACAAAAAGGCCGAATACCCTAAAGCCCAACACCTGCAGACCCTAAACCCTAAGCCACAAAGGACTCTCACTAGCCTGGCATCCCCGAGCTTGCACGCTTTGTGAAGCGGATAAGTCGTTCCGGAGAGCAGGGACCTGGGCGTGTAGAAGAACACACCACATCAACACCGGATAATGCAATGCAATACAGTATATAGTGAATATCGCATCACGTGTTTCCAGAGAACCGAACAGAACAGAACAGTGAAAAGACCGCAACATGCAAATACATGCAATTGATTAGATAGTGTCATGGTATTCTATACTATAATATTGTAATGTACTAACATGATACCATCTGGGTATAGTATAGTACATTGTAGTACAATACATTTTAGTATAGTATCGTATGGCATGGTATGGTATAATAAGCCTAGTACCGGCATAGTACAGTATAGTGTAGCATAGTATTATAATAGTATAGTATAGTATAGTATAGTATAGTATAGTGTATAGTGTATAGTGTA